CATCTAGTAAAAAGTTAGCATGGGCTAGCCTAATTTCATTGAGCAAACTTTCCCATTCACAAATCATTTCCTCAGTGGCCTAGTGACAAGTAGATAACTTTTAATTAACTGAGAACAGCGCAAAAAGAACTTACTAGTTCTAAAATGTCCAAGATATGCTATCATCAACTAATATTCTCATCACTGCAATTTCTAAGATGATTCAAACATTTCAAATAGATGTACAAGATTGATATAACGCAAGGGAGGACTTGCTGGTTCCCAGTTCAGGAGGCAGAGGAGTGAACATCTAAGAAGACGGAGGACCTCTCGCACTCGTAGATGACCATAATTTATTACCTCTTGCACTCGCAGATGATGAACATCTAAGAAGACGGAGTCGCGCTGTCTTTCTAGTTGAATTACGAATCCGAAGGGGATGAGAGAAGTACCTGCAACTCTCGGCGAGCAGCACTGAGATCCGGCGAGGGGAACGCCGCACGGCCTGGGGTGGGGCAGCGAGCGCGGCTCCGCGTGGCGTCACGAGCGCCGCCGCCGCGTGGCCGGGGCTGGGGCGGCGAGCGTGACACCGGGCAGCCAGGCGAGGTCCGGCTCCGGGCGGCCTGGGGCAGCGCGTCGAGCGCGGATCCGAGCAGCCTGGCGATGGACGGTGAGCGGCCTGGGGTGGGGCGGTGCGAGGCCTCACGACCGACAAGCGGCGCGCCGGCCGGCCCTAACCCTAGCTCTCGATCTATTCTTTCGTGGCGGCCGGAGAAAGGGAGGACGGAAAGCAGCGATGGAGTTCTGGAGGAGGGTTTGCTGGGTCGTGTACTCGTGTGTGGACTCGTGGGATGGGCCGTGCGTGGTGAGTCGTGGGGGTATGTTTTTTTTTTCCTTTTCCTTTTCTTTTTTTTGTTTTCTTTTGGAAATTCTTCTCTTTCTCTCTCCTTTTTTTGAGAAAAGCTCAAAACAAAATACAAAAATACACGAGCCCACACACATTATATATACATATATAGCTAGATTGTCAAGATTAAATGTGCATACATTTAAACCAGGGCTCATTGTAAACTAGGCCCACATATATATACACACATATAAGTTATATAAAATTTTTCACATGTATACATTTTAATTATTTTTGAAAGTTGTTTTGGTGAACCTGGTTAAAGTTCGATCTTCAAAATAAAAACATTTATAAAGTAGGGTTCATTGTCTCATGCAATAGATGCCCTTGACAAAAGCAGATAAATTATGAATGTATTGTCGATTTTTAAATACCACAATCAACACGAGCATAACACCCGATATGTTACAATAGGTTCACACCCATGGCCACTGTAGCTCATAGGCGGTTGAGAGGAGGAGTAGAGCTCGTGTCGAGGATGCCACCGTCAATGTAGAACCGCCCATGCTTCTTGCCTTGCCCAATCCTCATCACTCGCTCAGGATCAAGGCGCTCCTCGGTCCTCGGATCGTAGTCCGGCCCGTGGACTAACCTTGACGCCTCCGTGTACGAACTGAGGCGGGTGTGGACGTTGGAGTTGGTGTACGCCTCTGGGCCCGCATCTGGATTGTACTCAATGTTGGACTTTGCCGGGCCCATGTGGGCCAGAGCATACGCCGTGAGTTGGCCAATTGGCTGGCCACCGTGCGCCGCCTCCTGCGAGAAAGACAACAACATGTGGTTAGGAATCATGCAGAATTGGGCGCGGCTAGATTAGACAAATGGTGGAGACTTACATATGCCTTTTTGTATTTGCTGAGGCTGGCGCTGCCCTGATGGTGAGGTACACCTGGCATCATCATACGGTGCTCACTTTTCTCTTGGTGCGCCTTCTGCCAGTCCGCGTCCAACCATTTGTCCACGTCTTTTTGCCATGGGGCCATCCTCCTTATGACCATCTCTTAGGTATGGTGTTAGTTCGCTCGCCGAAATCTTAGGGAGGATGGAAGTATCGAAAGGAGGGATTTCATTAGATTGATAATTGAACTCTTCCTCCTCCACTTGATTTTCAACTTCGACAACCCGCTTCTTCCCAGGGAGAACCACTCGTCGTCTCTTGTTTCTAGTGTCACGCACATAGAAGACTTGGAAAACCTGACTTGCGAGTACAAATAGAAGCTAGATCGAGTAATTAAGCACGAGCACACACCCTGTTGCATAGACCGAGATAGAATTAAGCACACGGATTCCATCACGCAGTTGTAATTTGATCATGGTCACACAATCCCAAAAATTAATTACAATGCTATTATTAGCAAATTTGGTCGCTGCTACCTTATCTATCGAGCTGAGCTGAGCACACACACCAGGCAGGACCGACGCCTATGTGGTTGTTGTCGGTGGACGGACCGTATGCCAAGAAAGGAAGCCCCGGGATCGAGAGCAGAGCTGAGCTGAAGCGGACCAGATTTGGCCAGTCGGTGGCCTCAGCTCCACCCTCAGCGGAGGAGTTGATTTGGCTTTATTTTCTTCACATATCACAATGAATTAATTAGCTGAATCACCTGCCATTCATCAACCGGGCCGGGTCAGCTCAGGAGTTCGGACACCTGCAAGTAAACATCGATCGATTCGCTGTCTATACAAGCTATATGTCGTGCTAACTTGACAAATTAATAGAGAGCATGCACAACATGCATGGCATGTGGTAGTAGTGTGCCAATGGAAGTACCTTTATACTCTACTGCTCGCTGATCTGTACATGCTCCAATGTCAAGGATCGTTCAAGGAGTTAATATTAATACCACCAGATCCAAGGTTTAGGTAGGCCCTGCCCATTTGAATCAAGAAACATATTAATACCAAAGATGAAAAGAACAGATCCCGCTGCGTACTGTACTGGGTTAATTAGAAGTCCCAGATCGAGGTCAGGAATATATGTTTGCAATTAACCTCCACTAATAAAAAGCCAGCCACATCATCACGATCCATTTATCGCCACTTTCAAGATCAATGAGAGGAAACAGAGTGAGTTTTTTTGAGCTGAGCTTCAGTTTCTGAAAGGGCCAAATAATATAGATATGGCGGTCGTGTTATTATCAAAAGCAAGAAAAAAGCCAGAGGCGGATATCTGGGTTTTAGGCATCCGACGTCGCAACTTGCTCGAAACCTTCTCGATTTTTTATCATAGCCTCTACATGCGATAACACGACGCCCAGACAAGTTTTGTGATTTTCGGACTTCGTTCGGATTTTATATAATTTAAAAACACTTTTCCCGCAAGTTATTCGTCATGTTACGTCAACAAGATGCTCGACATTTCATGCGAGTTCCTGGATAAGGCCTCAACATACACGAAATATCATTAATATAATTTTTTGAATCCCCAAATTTCATTATTTCATGCACCTGCAGTTCAAATTCGAAGTATGCAAAAAAATTCAACGAAATATAACAAAAAAAGTCAAAATTGTCCCAAATTTGAACAGAGTTTTAAATAATGTGGGAAGGCCTCAAAAAAAAATGAGGCAAAAAAAAAACAAAAAACACAAAAATTCTTCCCGAGTGCGGTGACGGGGGCACTCGGAAGGGGCTTCTTTCCCTAGTGCCATGTTCTCGACACTCGGGAAAGGGCCTCTTCCTCGAGTGCCAGGGAAGGCACTCGGGGAAGAATTTTTTTAAAAAGTTTTAACGGCGTGGGCGGGGTGGACCGTCAAGTAACATGTTTCTTTGCCGAGTGCCGATCTTCCCCGAGTGTTGCACTCGGGGAAGAGGGCCTTTGCCGAGTGCTGCTCTTTACCGAGTGCCAGGATCTCTGCGGCACTCGGGAAAGCCTCTCTTTCCCGAGTGCAATTCTTCCCCGAGTGCAACACTCGGGGAAGATTCTCTTTTCCGAGTGCCCGATTTTTGGCACTCGGGGAAGCCAGCGACACTCGGGGAATTTTGTCTCTCCCGTAGTGATTATTGTTAATCATTACTTGGCATATAGTTTTAAGACCCGTGTGCCGTGTGCCCCTTGCAGCGGACACGCCCAAGACAGACCATGCATGCATGCACACACGCTGACACAACACACCAGTAGCAGAAATGCTTGTTGATATGTTGAACGATAATACCCTGAGTCCCTGCCCTGCTGGCTGCTGGGATGATAACGAAGATCAGCATAGATGAGGATGAGCCTGCTGTGAATGCTGCAGAGCCCTCAATAATTGGCTAGCTGCTATTGTCCAGCAGATTCTTGATCCTATGTGCAAAGTGCATGCATGCAAGCCCATAGTATATAGACTGCAAGCATCAAGAATGGACGGCAGATAGTCCCGTGCTGTTCGTATCCATATTTATCGATTATGATATAAGATTTTCTCTTATAATAAAAAAGAGCATCAACTATGGAATGATAACGAAGATCAGCATAGATGAGCCTGCTGTGCATGCTGCAGAGCCCTCAATAATTGGCTAGCTGCTACTGTCCAGCAGATTCTTGATCCTATGTGCAATATGCATGCATGCAAGCCCATAGTATATAGTCTACGAGCATAAAGAATGGACGGCAGATGGTCCCGCCCTGTTCTCTGATCATATTTTTCACTCACACCAAAATAACAGCAATCGACTTATAAGAAACGATCGAACTAACATGGTGGGAGTGTTCCAATCTAGCAATTCCCCTTACTAATCTATCTGCTGCCACAAACATGGTGGGAGTGTTCCAATCTAGCAATTCCCCTTACTAATCTATCTGCTGCCACACTAATTTAAACATAATCTCCCTCTCTCACTGTAGTGTGCAGCAAGAGTGTCTGAGTGTGCAGTGTGCTAGCTAGGGACAGGAATCAAGAGCAGTGAGTGAGAGGAGACTAGAGAGAGGAGCAAGCCGACACACAGAAGGTGGCACAGTGCTCGCTTTCCCCGCATGGAATCCCAACCGCTCGATCGTCTGCAGGAAGGCAAGCTGCGCACCAACCCCGGAGCCGGACGCTTACAAAGGAGACCCCTGCTCCTCGTCCCTTCGCCACCGCCCACCACCGTCTCCGATCCTCCCTGTGTTCCTCTCTCTTCTCCCACACACAGGCACATGGCAGCAGCTGGAGGTGGTTGCCAGCAGGCCGGAGCCGGTGAGCACGCTCGCGCGCAATGGTGTCGGAGAGGCAGCAGCAGCAGGCGGCGGCGGCGGGGGAAGGTGGCTGCCTTCAACCTCGCGGAGGCCGGCTTCGGCGACCAGGCGGAGCTGCTGGACGACGACGGGCGCGAGAGGCGCACGGGTACGTAAGCTAGCCGTTGTGTCTGTGCATGCTCTGCATGCGTATGGTTGGACTTGGACATGAGCATGACCGACGTGCGTGCGTGCGTGCTGCTCCGGCGGCGATGGACGACGGACATGCATGCAGGGACGCTGGTGACGGCGAGCGCGCACATCATCACGGCGGTGATCGGGTCGGGGGTGCTGTCGCTGGCGTGGGCGATCTCGCAGCTGGGGTGGGTGATCGGCCCCGTGGTGCTGCTGGCCTTCTCCGCCATCACCTGGTTCTGCTCCAGCCTCCTCGCCGACTGCTACCGCGCGCCCGACCCCGTCCACGGCAAGCGAAACTACACCTACGGCCAGGCAGTCAGGGCATACCTGGGTATGTCTATGTTGTGTCCCTCCTTACCAACACTCAAATTCAAATTCAAATGGATGCATGGATGGATTCGAATGTTGTCCATCTTGAATATTGATTTCCTTTGTTTTGAATGTTCCACCATCCAGGGTGTCCAAGTACCGGTTGTGCTCACTGGCGCAGTACATCAACCTGGTGGGCGTCACCATAGGCTACACGATCACCACTGCCATCAGCATGGGGTACTACTGCATGCATTCCCCCGCCCTCCCCCAACTGTCTCATGCTCTGCTTCTTCTTCTTCTTCCATTCCATGCATGTCTGATGTCTAAAACCACCACCACTGTTCTGCCCTTGGTAGTTGGTCGGAAAACTGAATGACCATATGTGATATATATATATATATATATATATATATATATATATATATATATATATATATATATATATATATATATATATATATATATATATATAATAAATAAACTTCAGTCAAACCGGCAGCGTTTAACTTGTCTTTTTTCTATACGTAAGTGGTGCTCCTGTGATGATTGATGAGTCCAAGTTCGTTCCGTATGCATGTTTCCAATTAATCATTCCATCTTTTTCTGAGGAAATTAAAAGTTCTTTTTGTTGTTTTCATCCTTTGAAAGGGTTATTATTGGAGGTAACAAAATGTTTTTAATCAGAGTAGGTAGGAAAAGAGAGGAGCTGATGCGGGGAGGAGTAGTCCTGATGATTAATTCACGCATCATCTGTGAAGTTGTCATCAAATAAGGGTGGTTGTCTTTTAAGGTTCAGAGGGCAGGAAAAGAAAATTTAAAGTGATGCCCAAAGATAACATTATTTGGCACTTGAAAAGTGCTTTCTTGAAAGACAAAATCAGATACTGAAGGGCGCCACTGCTGCTTCCCTTTTCCATCCATCCATCCGTTGGAAAAGAGGGTGTGAAAAGGAGTGGCCTGTATTGCCATGCCTGCAAGAAGAATCGTATTTCCTTTTTCTTTCTTTGTTTCTTTATTTTTTCTTGTGTTTATTTAGATTTACAAAAGGAGCAATAATCTTTTCCCTTAGACAGTAGAAACAGCACCAAGCAAATGACAGAGCAGCTAGACCATTTAAGTGATTGTTGCATCTATCTATGGATGTGTACCGTAACCTGCTGGCATGGCATGGTGGTGCAGGGCGATCAAGCGTTCCAACTGCTTCCACAGCAAGGGGGCACGGCGCCGACTGCGAGGCGTCCAACACCACCAACATGATCATCTTCGCGGGCATCCAGATCCTGCTGTCGCAGCTCCCCAACTTCCACAAGCTCTGGTGGCTCTCCATCGTCGCCGCCGTCATGTCCCTCGCCTACTCCTCCATCGGACTCGGACTCTCCATCGCAAAGATCGCAGGCAAGTTCTTGAGCTATTTGTTCTTCTTACTGATCTGTCAGTCACTGATCATGAGTGATCTCTCAGCTAGCTACTAGCTCATACCAGCCATGCATTGGTTATCATCAGCTTTATCCACCTGCATGCATGATGCATGCCAAGATTTGTATATATACCAACAAAGCATGCAATTATGTTCTTGGTGGGGCATGTACATCACTCAGCATCCTTTTTGGTTTGGCTTGCAATGTGCATGACAAGTGACATGCATGCACAAATGAGGACACTGGACATGTTGGCGATGGCCTAGCTAGCCTTTTGTTTGCATGCATCGATGATCGATCATATCATGCATGCATGTCGCCCGTTCGATGCGATGCAGTGCACTGCAGACTGCAGACTGCAGTGCATCTCTCTGTACATGTTTACTGATGGCCCCTGATGATTAATTGCAGGTGGGGTGCACGTGAAGACGTCGCTGACGGGTGCCGCCGTGGGGGTTGACGTCACCGCGAGCGAGAAGATATGGAAGACGTTTCAGTCCCTGGGAGACATCGCCTTCGCCTACTCCTACTCCAACGTCCTCATAGAAATCCAGGTACAACCGTGAAGAAATTCAGATACATCTGTGTATAACCCTGCTACATACCTTGTAGTTAGCACCACGTATTAGTCACTAAGGACACTTCACCTGCGTCTTTTTAAAAAGAACAGCTCATCTGAAGAAGCTAGTACTAGCTACTAGCATGAACGGATGAGCCCATGCGCCCATGCCCGTGATCTTTTTTGGTCTGTATAGGAAGGACAAAACTCTTGTATACTTGCAGTGATGCAGATGAGCATGCATGGCAGGCACAAGGGAACAAACTCAGGAGTCCAATCATACATCACACAAGCTTATAAAATGTTTCTTTTCTAGACCAAAATGGTGCAGTAGTCAACACGAGGGTCCGCTGCCCTAGTGCCCTGCATTGAGCCCAGTGCAGGCTAGTGCATGAACAGGCTCCGGAAGTCTGCATGCTGCACAAAGAGACGAGCCAAATCTGAATCCTTCCATGTAGCAGAGTAATAAGGGCTCCGTTGTCTTTCACTTTCAGCCACCAAAAGTCCAAAGTTTCCTTGTCCTACACATAATCAATATGGTCAATTGGTCATGGTGCACATGGCTGAGCATTACTCCATCAAGTAAAACTTATCCTACTCTTGTTCAAAATGTAAATCCTATATCCCTACTCAAATGGCAGTCAGTACATCTAATCTAGGATGACATGGTTGGTGCATCATTGCATTGCATCAGTCAGTAGTCCGGCTCAAATGCAGTAGCCATGCACTAATCTCAACGCATCAGCTGGCAGACTTCTCTGCTCCTAGGTCGTCATAGGTCAACGCAGTAGTACTATTTACCTTGTGCAATTTACAGCTTCATTTTTACTTTACCATGCATGCACGCATGACTTTGATGAACTAACGCGCATGCCTGCCCTGCCCTGCCCGCACACCGCAGGACACGCTGCGGTCGAGCCCGCCGGAGAACGTGGTGATGAAGAAGGCGTCCTTCATCGGCGTGTCCACGACCACCACGTTCTACATGCTGTGCGGCGTCCTCGGCTACGCGGCGTTCGGCAACGACGCGCCGGGGAACTTCCTCACGGGGTTCGGCTTCTACGACCCGTTCTGGCTCATCGACGTCGGCAACGTCTGCATCGCCGTGCACCTCATCGGCGCCTACCAGGTCTTCTGCCAGCCCATCTACCAGTTCGTCGAGGCCTGGGCGCGGTCCCGCTGGCCCGACGCCGCCTTCCTCAACGCCGAGCACACCGTCGCCGGCGGCCGGTTCTCAGGTCAGCCCGTTCCGCCTCGTGTGGCGCACCGCCTACGTCGTTGTCACCGCGCTCGTCGCCATGGTGTTCCCCTTCTTCAACGACTTCCTCGGGCTCATTGGCGCTGTCTCCTTCTGGCCGCTCACCGTCTACTTCCCCATCCAGATGTACATGGCGCAGGCCAAGACGCGCCGATTCTCGCCGGCGTGGACGTGGATGAACGTGCTCAGCTACGCCTGCCTCTTCGTCTCGCTGTCGCCGCCGCTGGCTCCGTCCAGGGCTCGTCAAGACCTCAAGGGCTACAAGCCCTTCAAGGTCTCCTAAATAAGGACTGCATGCCTCTGGAGTCTGGACGACGACATGACACATAGCTAGCTGCAGGAGTGAACGATCGACGACTCGATCTGAAACGTATGCGTGCAGGTGCATGCGCATGCAATGCATGCTAGTCCAAAGTGATGCATACATATATACAGTCATATGGGAGCAAGGGAGGATATATATGGTGGGTCCTGAAACAGGTTAATTACTTCCAGTGCTGTCAAATGTCAATGGTGGTTAAAAGTACGTAGCCTAAAGTAAGTAGTGATATGCATGGTTAATGGTTTGGTTTTACTTAAAAATGTATATGTAATTCTCAATTAAGTGTAATGGCAGCCTAATTGAAAATGGAAATAAGATTCTACAACTCAGTTGACTGAAATGCAAAAAGCAATATAACGTAATGTCTCCATCCACTACTACTACACAGAAGTGCCCATTGGATGAACCTCAGCATGTGGCATGTGCTGAACTTGTGATCTACCAGGAAAGGACAAAGCAAAGACATGAAAAAAAAGCAGGGGATGCGTTTTTTCAATACTAAAGAAGCGTCTAATAGCTAGCTATTAGGCTTGAGGCTATTCCGATGTGAACATGAACAAAGTAGAAGAGAGAGTAGTCACTAGCGGCCCAACAAATAGCTGATATATTTCACGTGAGTCCAATAATCGAGAGAGAAATATAAGTCTAATAGTACATAGAAAAATAAGAATGTATAAAATAAGTCTTTGCTTTGTCTCTCACCTCCACGTAAGCTAGCTACGTAGTTAGCACCATTGGCGGACGCAGTAATGTCAGCTATTTGCAAAGTCTGAGCTCTCAATCCTAAGGGCATGTTTTGGAACGCTGGAAATATTTCCCTGTTCTGCGTTTTTCCTCAGTAAATTGAATCGATTCCTGCTGTGAAATTCCTGCTGCATGATTCTCTGTAAATTCCCTGCGTTCCAAACATGCTCCTAATTTGCTTACGCAGCCCACCAACCTAAGCAACTCGCTTAGTTCTTTAACAACCATTTCCTTTTAAGGAAAGACTCTGACCAGCAATTAGTCTATAAGTATTTAATTTATAGAGTAATTTCCATATAGATGTTTTCTAATCTCTTTCCAGTGGTGATAAAACATATGAGTCACTCTAGATGTTATTTCATCCATATCCATATAGTTTCCTCCTTGTGCATAGCACCTCCATGTATTTGATGCATTTGTCACATTAACTTAATTAAGTTATGGTGACTCTTATGGGTTAATGAATCTAGATATTTGATGCTCAATTTTTTATATTATTCGTTTATGAAAATTTTATCAACAATTTAAATTGAAACTCATATGATTTTTGGACTATTTATTCAAAATTTGCATTTTGTATGTTATTAAAAGCAATGTTTTTTAAGTTGTTATAGACTGGCACTCTCGCTACTACAATGGCATGAATAATAATGGTGAATGTTGTCTGCGATTAAAGTGTTGGAATGTTGGTTGTTGAATTCAGATAGTGAAACAAGGGGCGAAGGCATAACAGTGAGAGTGAATGGTGTAGACAGTAATACTTTTTGCCCTCTTTATTCATAGGGTATAGTTCCTTTTTCGATAGTTGGCGGACCAAAATGCCTTTGTAACAACTCCAAAAGGTTCCTAGAATATTCCTATTCTAGGAATGGCATTTTAGTCCTTTTTATATACATATAGTCAAAGTACCGTGTTTCGTTTTGCAACTCAACGGCTAGTCCTTAGTGGCGAGATCAAGCGCCCTTCCACACACTTGAGCACGAGGACTCGCTTCTCACGAGATCACTATATATCAACAAATACATATATAAAGTAAGGTGATAGTTGCATGCAAGTAAGTAGACGAGCAAGCATAAGGGCCCTATTTGGTAGAGCTTTTTAGCAAGCCACAAAACTGTTTTGCAACTTCTTTGCAAAACAGGTTCCTGAAACAGCTCCTCCTTTGATCCTCCGAGAGTATCTCTGAAAGCCCTAAAAGTGGAAATTGAGCTAGAAAAAAATAGCTTTAACCAGCTTCATCCCGTTCTGGGGTCTTGTCGCGACCTTAGTGATTGCCCCCCCCCTCCCATTGCATGGGGGAGGCGATAACTGACCGCGCGAACATGGAATCTGGTGGGTGGCTCGCGGGCGTCAGCGGGCATGAGGCGCATGAGCTCCGACTGGGGAGGAGGCGTGTGGTATGGGGCAAGCTTGACGCCTGGCGGCTTGATGAGGCGAAGTCGCGATGTGGCGGCTGGGAGCTCGGCCGATGAGCTTACGCCCGATGAGGCGCAACCGCAAGGGGCTCAACT